ATTGTTTTTATCTTGAAGAAGAAGATCAATTGAAGATTGATAAAGCTCTCCATATACTTCAAACTAAATTATTGTATTACTTAAAGATTTTCCCTTACTATCCAGGATTGTTGGAAGTAAGTGTTGTGATTTGAAGAGGATTGTTCTTCATTCACATTAGTGTTTGTTTGGTCTTAAAGGTGTTAAGAACCTTTGATCACCCTATAGGTTAGATAGTAAGCATAGGCTGTACAATCATTCTAACTATAGTGAAATATCTTTCGTGTTGGAAAGGGGACTGAAGTACTCTCGGATTGTGAGGGGAACCAGGATATATCACCGTGTTCTTTACTTTTCCGCATTTATCGCTTTCATCACCATAATCAGGAAAAGATAAAGATATAAACAAAACCTTCAAACACTTAACCAAAAATTACTACCAAGCATTCTCATAAAACCGAATAAATTTTATAAGACCTAATTCACCCCCCCCCCCCCCCCCCCCCCCTCTTAGGCACTCTGAGACTTAAACTTCCTTGGCATCAAATTCTACAAGAGTAGTAGAGACTTGATGATGCATCAAAGAAGGTATGCAAGTGAAATAATCCAAAGATTTGAGATGGAAGACTGTAATGCAACTTCTCCATCTACTAAACCAAGACTACAATTGTCGAAAGACTTAGATGGAGATGGTGTCGATCCAACACAGTACATAAGACTTATTTAGCCATTAAGGTACCTTTGTCACACAAGAACTGATCTAGCATACAATGTAAGTATGGTGAGTAGATTCGTGAAGAAGCCAAAGATATCACATTTCACAACTATGAATATGATATTAAGGTATCTCAAAAGAAATCTCGACTATGACATTTTGTTTCATGCAAATGATGAAGGAAAAGAATGCAAGCTAGTGGTATACACCGACTCGAGTTGGTGTAGGGATGCTGGGGATAGAAAATCCATAACTAGTTATATGTTAATGCTAGGTGGTGCACCAGTTACTTGGAACTCAAGAAAAGAACCAATGATAGCACTATCTTCGTGTGAAGTAGAGTACATAGTTGCTTCTCTTTGTGCATGTCAAGCAACGTGAATGGTGAATTTGGTCGAAGAAATTATTGAGAAGAATCATGGAGCAAGCCTTAATTTCTCTTTTCTTTTTCAATTCATCTTTTCTTTTCTTCTTTCATAATCGTTGTGCAGAGGAATCATCTTGCAACCAAGATGTGATTGATTCACACGAGTGAAGATTGAAGAATAAAAGACGAAATCAATAAGAAGAATTGATTCTTGTTCATCAAAATTGATTCGGAAATCTCCATGTTTTGGGTGTAATTCCAACACTCAACCCACTAAATAATGTCCAACAAACTCAAGACCTTGATTAGCAAATCTATCCGCACACTTATTTCTTTCTCTATAAATGTGAGTGAAACACTTAAAACTAACATGTGCTTGTAGCTATCTCATATGTTATCGAATTCCCAAGACATTAGAGTTTCATTCTTATTACACTTAAGAACGCTCTAGGAATCTAACTCACTCCATTTTTGAGTCAATCTTTAACCGTCACAAACTCTAACGTTAACTTAATTATATTAATATACGTAGAAAATAAAAAATGACATATCAACATAAAGTAGAAAATAATAACTTATCAACTTATATTTTATAAATTAATTGATTAATAATATAATGAGTGTGCTACACATATAAAAAACCACCCGATCAATAACTCCCTTCATCTTAAACTATAATACATTTTAATCATTTCACACGAATTAAAAAATTTAATTATTATTTTATGTTAAAGATAAATTATATATAACTTTAAAGTAATCTTCCTCGTAATTATAAAGGAGAGAAAAATTACAAAATTTGAAAGAAGAAATAATAATAAATATTCGAGAGTATATTAGAAAAAATAATAAATATTATATTAAAATTACAAAATATCTTATAATTTAAGAGAGAACAAGCATAAGACTATTAATGTGTATATATAAAAAATGACCCCACTTTGTCTTGTTCCCCTCTAGATCCTAAGTGCATATATATCTCTCTTTCTCCCTCCTCCACTTCATATATACATATATACGTATATAGTAGTTTTCTCTTCTCTTCTCATCTCTTCTTATCTTTAATTTTCCATCAATGGATCAACTTGAACCTTTATCTACCAATAACTCTCTAGTTTTTCCACTCATCACTACCTTGATGATTACTTCAATATTAATCATGTGTTTCACAACTATTTTTCCATGTCTCACATCATGTTTCCACAAACTTTTTAGTACTAGTCTCTTTTGTAGTTGTAAAATTTGCCAAGCTTATCTAACTTCAAGTTGGTCAAAAGATTTCAACAATCTTTGTGATTGGTATACTCATCTCCTACAAAAATCACCAACAAAAACCATCCACATACATGTCCTAAGAAACACAATAACCGCAAATTGTGAAAACCTTGAGTACATACTCAAAACAAACTTCGAAAACTACCCAAAAGGAAAACCTTTCTCAACAATCCTTGGTGATTTTCTTGGCCGTGGTATCTTCAACGTGGATGGTGAACTATGGAAGTTCCAAAAGAAGATGGCAAGTCTAGAACTCAACAAAAACTCCATAAGATCCTTTGCCTTTGAAGTTGTCAACAACGAAATCCAAAACCGTCTCATCCCTCTACTCAAGAACCAAAACCAAGTTTTGGATTTACAAGACGTTTTCAAAAGATTCTCTTTTGATAGTATTTGCAGATTCTCCTTCGGTTTAGACCCTATGTGCTTAGAAAAATCACTACCCATGTCGGATTTCGCTCTTTCTTTCGATCTAGCATCAAAGTTATCAGCTGAAAGAGCCATGGTAGTCTCTCCACTAATCTGGAAAATCAAGAGATTCTTCAACATGGGTAGTGAGAAAGAGTTGAGAAAAAGCATCAACATCATTAACATGTTAGCCAAAGTTGTCATAAACCAAAAAAGAAAAATGGGGTTTTCTCATCATCAAGATTTGTTATCAAGATTCATGACTACAACAATTCACGACGACATGTTCCTTAGAGACATAGTCATAAGTTTCTTATTAGCCGGTCGCGACACCGTGGCGTCATCACTCACAAGTTTCTTTTGGTTATTAGCAAAAAATCGTCAAGTCGAGAGAGAGATTTTACTAGAAGCTGAACGAGTAATAGGACCACATGATAAAGAAAATAATTTTGGTATAACGAATTTCGAACAACTTAGTAGGTTACATTATCTACAAGCTGCAGCGTATGAGAGTATGAGGCTTTATCCACCAATTCAATTTGACTCAAAGTTTTGTTTGGTGGATGATGTTTTACCAGATGGTACAAAGGTGAAAAGTGGAACTAGGGTTACTTATCATCCTTATGCAATGGGTAAGTTGGAGGAATTATGGGGTGAAGATTGTTTGGAGTTTAAGCCTCAAAGGTGGTTGAAAGATGGTGTGTTTCAACCTACAAATCAGTTCAAGTATCCTATTTTTCAAGCTGGGTTGAGGGTTTGTATTGGGAAAGAAATGGCTTTGATGGAGCTTAAAACTGTGGCTATTTCTTTGCTTAGAATGTTTAGTATTGAATTGGAGGAAACATCAACAACAACGTTGGGTTGTGATAATCCTAGATTCTCTCCTGGTCTTACTGCCACTTTTGCTTTTGGTCTACCTGTGTTTGTTCGTGAAAGAGGAACCAGTTGTGAAGCATAGTACTACTATGTATCTATGTGTATGAAGCTTGTCCTTATCCAACCTAGTATCTTTTTTTAGATTTCGAGACAAATTATTGTTCATATTGTTTCAAGATTGATTGTGTGAGATAAGTGTAATTTACAACTCCCTAGGTCTCGTATTAAGATTCCGGATTGGGGATGTTTTGTTTATAGTATCATATATGATTTAGTATTATTTTAGAATATCAATGTATATAATATTAATATCACCAATTATAAATATATAAATTTTAAACTATTGGTTTATTGTAATTTTACGATCTGATTAAATAATTAAAACTATTTTTATTCCAATGATAAATATGACTTTAGGCAAAATACTACAACCATATTGTTTTAGCATTTAATATGGGTGATGTGGCATCACCAGAATATTTGTTGAATTTCTTTGTTTTAAATCAAATTATTTTAAATTAGTTTTAATTAATATTGGTCTATTAATAGTCAATAATTATTCCCAATTCAAACCACAATTACAGTAGTGTGTATTGGGAATACGAAAATACTACTTTGGTAGAACAAAAACTCCAACTTTCTAAATTGTGAATTGAATTTGTGTCTTCTCAACTATTCAAACCCAACTTCAAAACCCTAACAGACACTACGTCAAAAATGATTTTTTGTATCACCTAATTTAATAGCACTTTTAAAAAAAATGCTATTAAAATGGAAAAAACACATTTATAATAGCACTTTTTAATCGGGCGCTATTATATAATACAGATTATGTAATTTTGATAGCACTTTGTACTAGAACGCTATTATTAAACTTCTTTAAGATAGCATTTTGTATAAAACGCTATTATTTGACTACCTATATAATAGCATTTATTAAAAAGCGCTATGTTATATATAATAATGAATTAATTAATTAATTGATAAAAAAAAAACACATTTTCAGAAAGGTAATCAAAGGCATCCAACGGGGTTCTCTTTTGTGAGATATAAGGTGCGACTATCCGCTTCGGACACGAAGAAGAGAGGATTGAAGGATCTCGAACATTACCAGCACGGTCGAAATAGAATCTGAAGAAGGCGACGATCAACACATTCGGAGACTTCAGGTATGTAATTCATGTTACTCTGGATATGAACGTTTTTTCTTTGCTATTCTTCTTCTTTCCTCTTCTCATCTGCTACTCTTTCTGTGTTGTTTTGAGTTTTTGTTGGCGAATCGGTTGTGTGGCGATGAAAGACCAATTTGTTATTGATCGAAGCAATTTTTGTTCAGAGAAGACAAAGTAGGGAGAGCTTAGTCTAAGATCTAGGAGATTGATGAAGGTTTCTATGAAGTAGAGAAGTGTTGAAGTTGAGAGCTGAAATGGAAGCTTGCGGTTGGAGAAGAGTTGTACTAAAGTTGTAGATTCAAGAAGTTTGAAGCCATGTTCAAGAACGAAGAAGGATGAAGATGAAGATGAGGATTCTTTCTAAGAACCCAGAGAGATTCAGAAGTGAGTATTCTGTGAACTTTTTCTTTTTTGCCTCCTGATATTCCCCTGATTTCTATTATGAATCCCTGTGAATTTTCGAGTAAGAGAGGTTGAGAAATTTTTTCTGAACTGTTTCTGTTTTCTCTATATGAATCCCCCATCTCAGAGTTTTTTCTTCTTGAATAAAGATTGTGAATATCACTGAATAATAAAAAGTCCCCTCTGCTTCCTTTGATTACCTTATATCTTCCTCTGCTTCCTTCTTAGTCACAATTAATCGATTCTTCTTTTCAATCCAAGCAAAAATTGGCATTTCGTTAATGTTGGATGTTTTTTTGATTTCAGGAAAAACTTGATCAATGGCTCTGTAGACAGCAAGAGGGTGGATCAAGACTTGCAAATGTGAATCCAGCTGCTGAAGCAAATGTAAGTATTACCATTTTGTATTCAAAACCGTTCACTGCTCGATCTATCTAAATCTTCAGTTGGATTTAATTCCAGATATTTGGTGATCCAGATGCTGCTGATGTTGTATTCACAAGTGGCGCAGATATATTGGCAGTTGGAATAAATGTTACTCACCAAGTCGTATTGTCAGGTACCCCTTTGCCAAATTCATATGCACTCAGTTTTTTCATGCTTACGTAGGTATTTTGTTAAAATGACTAATCATCTCTTGGCAAATCTTATGTGGTTTAACATCTAGTTCTTCAACTGTTATGATAATTTTCTTTCCTTTTCCTTTCATGATTTATGCATCATGATCCAGCAACCTTTTATATGACTATTTTAAACTTTTATATTAATAAGTTCCCATAAATAATGTTTTCAACTCAACAGATTTCATGGATGTCTCCCTAACCAAACTAGTATTCTCGGGAGACCTTTGATTAATGGATAATATTGTGGTAGATAATAATCTATTTTCCATGGTATCACCGCACTTTTAGTATTTAATGCAGACACATGCCAAAGGCAGGGAAAGATCACCGTGTTTGGATTGAGAGAGACCGAGTTCAAAAGTTTCAACTAACTTAAATAATTTCCCCCCATGATAATTGTCAATGACTAACTCTCAAAAGTTTCAGTTGTTAAGTGAAGTTCGTGACTGGTTTTATATCTATAACTAGTTCCTATAATATTTTGAAACCCATGAAACTTTTTAGTACCTTTGTGTCTCTATTGGCAGTATTTTAGCATGAAACTTGACATCGGTTGACTGCTATGAGCATGCTTCTATTTTAATTATGGTTCATGTCACTTGTCATGTTAACATTTGTTTTGGTTTACCCTCATCCGAAAAAACAAAATGACTAGGTTCTGATCGAGAAAAGTTAGCAAGTTCAAAAGGAAAATTTGCTCAATACCTTACCGGAATCTTAGAGGTGTATTTCTCTTACCATTGTGACGCATACAACACCAATGGTATGTCTTCATTCTGCATTAAAGAGATAATATAGGCCTAATCATCTGAATTATTAATAGTTCTTTTATACAGGAGTTTACCTTCATGACCCTACAGCGTTGCTTGCAGCCGTTGATCCTTCACTCGTAACTTGCACAGAAGGTGCTGTTAGAGTCCAAACCAGTGGCATAACAAGGGGACTTACAATTCTCTACAATAAACAGAAAAGGTAGAAAGCACTAGGAGTTGATAGCCCTGAAATTTATCTATATGAATGTTAATGCCATTTTATAGCAGTTGTGTCTCTCTCCAAATTTCTCAGAATAGTTTGTAAAGATGCTATGGGATTGCATTGACTCTACCAAAGAAATAGGAATTTTTCAGTGACCAACCTAGTTCTTTAGGGGAAGGAAGTAAACTTTTCGTAAATGGTTTAGGCTGTTGTTTGATAGGAGTTTAGATTGCATTAAAATTTAAATGAATTCCCCGGCCTTTTGTTTATATATTCCTTCTATTTGATTAGGAAGAGAAATTTATGTGAAGATTTCCCAGGTATGCCTAGAACATTCTGTTTCAGATAACTGTTACATTCTCAAGTACACTGCATTAGCTCTGGCCTGGCCAAAATCTACCTTGCTGGACCAAACATGATGACAGGGATAACTACAGAGATACTTCGTTGGTGAATAGAGTCTTAGCTGAACAGAGAACATAACCTGGAGTTTGCTAAGCTTGTTCCTTTTTGTATGGGCTAATGGAGGATGCTTTCCAAGGGGTGATTAAGCACCCCATAATACCCAAGTCTATATCTTAACACTGCCCACAAGAGTCGCCATTCTGGAGGCCTACTGTAGGAAACTTCGCTTGACCATTTTCAAATAGCTCATCTGTAGTTGGCCTTTTCTGAGACACCGGCAAACTAAGTCACTCAAATACTCTGCCGAGCAACTTATACTATTCAATGTTAGACTTGGGAACTCCATAATATTCAAGTCTCCGTCACCCTTTTGAGTGCAATTATTAGGGAAAATACTTTGTTATCAAGATTTTCTATCTTGTGATGACTTGTTCATTTTGTTATGAATTTTGGATCCATATTAAGTTATAGTTTTGGTGTGTATATTACGACATTCACAGGGCAGACTATAACCCGGATCAGTATCTGTGGGAAAAGGAATTCTCCCTCGCTGGTAGGACGTACCAAAGGCAGGATTTGGAGGCAAGTATGGACTATTTATTTCATAGGTTATTGCAATTATTGTTGTCTATCTATATAAGTTACACCACGATTCCAGTTGTTTGTTTGCGTATATACTGCTAGATTATCTATTTTCTAATTCCACAGCTCAAGAATGCCAGAGGCTATACCTTGAAGTGTAGTCATTATCTCCCTTCTCCGTTTCCTGAAGATACATCTCTTCCTTGTGTTGTATATTGCCATGGAAACAGGTATATGTCACATTTATGTTCACTGCTATTGATTCTAGTTATGATTGTAAATATTACTTTTCGAACATTAACTTATCAAAATGACATAGCTGTTCCCGTGTGATATGTGTTCAATGATGCAGTGGATGTAGGGCAGATGCGAATGAAGCTGCTGTAATTCTTCTTCCATCAAATATTACTGTTTTTACCCTTGACTTCTCAGGGTCGGGTTTATCTGATGGAGACTATGTTAGCCTTGGTTGGCATGAAGTGAGTTACGACTTCATGAATGCGTTCATTTGTTTAATTAGAACAAAATATTACTGTTTTTTACCTTTGTCTTCTCGGGGTCAAGCTTGTCTGGTGGAGACCATGTTAGCCTTGGTTGGCTTGAAGATTGTAATGTTGTCGAGCTGAATGTTAGTGTTACTATTTTATACGAAAGAAGCTTTTAGACTCTTTTTGACCATTCCTTTGTGTGGTAGAAAGATGATCTGAAGATTGTGGTGTCGCATTTGAGAAGCAACAAGCAAATATCCCGTATAGGTTTATGGGGACGATCAATGGGCGCAGTTACTAGGTACTACATCTTTCAATGAATTTTAATATTTTTTAAAACAATTTATGTTGTTTTGGTACTTGAATGTAATGGAGTATTCACTTTATTTTGATGTGGTGTAGCCTTCTTTACGGAGCTGAAGACCCTTCTATTGCTGGAATGGTATTGGATAACGCCTTTTCAAACTTATATAATCTCATGATGGAGCTAGTGGATGTTTATAAAATCCGACTTCCAAAGTTCACTGTACTCCCTCTCCCTCCCTTTCTCTCTTTGTGTGTGTGGATGCCAACTCCCTTTGTTATGAATGCTCAATTGAAACAGTCGTGGTGTATAGGAAAAAGTGAGACTATATATGGTTGAAACTGCAAAAGACTTAAAAAATTGTTGCTTCATGGTTGTAACCGCATCTTAATATGCTGTTTATTTGTACTTGTAATATGTAAACTTTTTTCATAAATTGTTGCTGGAAGCCTGGAACCTGTAAGAGGTTAAATTGTTCTAGGCTCTAGCTTCTAGGATTTGGTGTATCTGCAAGTCTTAACTTAGTAATTTCCTTTTTCTTAAGATGGAAAAGTAAAGTAGCAGGAAACCCTAGGATTGAAGACTAGAATTAATTTTGATCAAGATTTTGTTTTGGATCTAGGTTTTCTTGTTATAATTACAGTTCTTTTTATTATGAAATTGTTAAATATGAAAATTGGGGATTTAATAGTTATGCATCTATAGTAATGCCTAGTTTGCATGATTTTGTCCAGTACATTTAAGTCAGATATTTGACTGCATTTTCTCCCTGATTAGGTTAAAATGGCTGTACAATACATGCGGCGGGTTATTGAGAAGAAGGCAAAGTTTGATATCATGAAACTGAACTGTGTTCTGGTAAGTATTAATTGTTTGTCTTTTTTATAGTAAAAAAATTATGAATGCAATTATGTAAACTTTCATTGATCATGTTTTGTTAAGCATTATTTTCTGGCTAAACGAATTTCTTTTAGAGACATCATTTCTTTTCGACTCCATTTTTATCGTAAATTAATGCTTTTAAAGCCTACAGGTTGCACCGAAGACATTCATTCCTGTTTTATTTGGACATGCAAGTGATGACAAATTCATTCAGCCACACCACTCCGATCTCATCTCTGAATCCTACGCGGTATTAATTTTACAATTATAAGCAGTTTGCATTTTCTCTCTCTTTGATAGCCAAAATATCTAACTTCTGTTTCTGAATTCGTAGGGTGATAAAAATATCATAAAATTTGATGGCGACCACAATTCTTCTCGGCCACAATTCTTTTATGATTCAGTTTCCATTTTCTTCTACAATGTCCTCCGTCCTCCTCAAGTTTCTATTGCTGAAAAGCTCGAGAAATATTATGATTTGGGGGATTTGAAACTCGGTTCCGGTGTGGATGAGGTATTTAGCGTTTCTACTCCGTTGTCTTGAAAAATATAAAAGACACTACAAAAACTAATTTGCTCTTTTTCTTTTTCTTTCCATGCTAGAGCGTATTATATGAGATTCTCTCTAGTCTACGGTCTGCACCTACTGATGCTGCAAGTTCATCTTCTGCATTTCCAACAATATCTGAAACAAATTCAGTTACCGAACTTCTTTCGGAAGCAGCTCCACTGGCTGATGCAGTAGGTTGCCTTATCCCTCTGTCTCCATTATTTTCTTCATAAAACTTTGTTCTGTTTAGTTTATCCATTGCTTGTACTGCAGGAGCCTTTGTTTGAAGAAGATACGAGAGACAAAAATGATGAAGCCGCAAATGTGCAGGTCATCTTTATATAACCGTCTCTGAAATTAATAAATGGTCCGGGAATTATCCTTTACTTAACTTGAACAAAATACTATGAATGACTTTATAGGGTAAGCTAAATGGCCAGATTGAAGATTGTTGCTCATATACAAGCTCGACTAGAGAAAGTTGGGGAAGATGTTCTTCTTTAGGAGGCAGTGATCAAGAATCTTTTGCAGATTTAAGTGCTGATGATAAACACTCTCAGGTTTCTCTCTAGCAGCATAACTAAACTTTGTTTTTTCTTCAAAGCTATTTGTAGCAAAGTTATTGACCCTGAGAAGTTACCGACGTTACAAAAGGAAATTGTTGTCACATTATGTGAGCTTGAGATGTATTTTCCACCCTCATTTTTTGACATAATGGTTCATCTTACAGTCCATCTTATAATGGAAACACAATATTGTGGACCAGCTTATATGAGGTGGATGTACCCGATTGAGCGTTACATGAAGATAATAAAAGGGTACGTGAAGAATCGAAGTCGACCAGATGGTTGTATTGTTGAACGATATTTAGTTGAAGAAGCCATTGAGTTTTGTACTGAATACCTCTCTAATATTGAGCCCATAGGGATTCCAATGTCACGACACTCTGGAAAAACAACAGGGGAAGGGATTGGTGCAAGTAAACTAGTAACCATGTCAGACATCGAATTGGAGCAATCACACTTGTATGTTCTACACAATGCTGATGAGGTTGAGCCATATGTTGAAAAGCACAAAGAAATACTTCAAAGTTTGAACCCTAATAAGAGTGAAAATTGGTTAACAAGAGAACACATATGACTGCAAAGTTTCAGGTAATACTTTTATCACTTGGATATGGTTCTTGCAACCCTGGATCATTTGGCAACATTCCCGAGGTAATTGGTTTCTTTATTATCTCTCAAATTCGATATGTTTGTTCTTTCAATAATGATGTTAATCTTTTTATTCATATCTTATTGGTTTAGGGTCTCTTTCCTGTTAATATATATTTATCCTCCCCGAGTCGTTGTTTGGTTGCTCGTGGAAAACTATATAACACCAAAGGTAACACGGTACATGGCATGACGTTACCACCTGGATATGTCAAGGTTAATATCGAAGTTGCTATTGTGCCAAATGCCCCATTGCCTATATCTGTTGAAGATGGAGATGTATCCATGGTTGGTCAAGCAATAGGAACAATTGTGCCATGGCCAACGAAACTTCTTGAATTTGTTGCTGAATGTGAAAAGGTAAATTACTTATAATCAAGTTGTTGAATGTTGAATTAGTTTTTATTGTACAATACATAATCAATATTCCTTCTATGATACAGGAAAACAAGAAGCAATTATTTTGCCTAATTAGTGATTGTATCTATGAGTTCAACGCTTTTGGATCATGAAGGTGGTTACTACATGGGATTGTTTTGTTATCCTTTCTTATTTTTTTGGTGTTTTGTTTAGAGAATTTGATTGTATGTTTTTGGATTTGGATTGAAGTACTCATAGATGGGCATCTACAAATTTGGCTATGCAAACGCCCTCTTAATATTCTATATGTTATGATATTTGGAAACAATAGGATTTGGTAATTTAAAATGTTATTTGGTATTTGATGGATCATAATATATATGCAATGAGTAACTTAAAGCGTTATTTGTGTTGAATTGAATATAGTTATTTTATATTTACACCAAAAAAAATGATTGTGTAAGAAAAAATATTGTACTGTACTTATTAAAAATATTGTACCAAATATGTACCATTTATTAGCACTTTATTTGAAAGCGCTATCAAACATATGTTATATATTAGCGCTTTTTGTTTAGAGTGCTATAAAAAAACAAACAAAAAACATGCAAAATACTGACTTTGATAGCACTTTAATTAAAACGCTATTATAAATTGGTACTTTAATAGCGCTTTTAAAGTGCTATTAAATAAGAAATATTTACAATAGTGGCGCGGTTAATAGCACTTTTAAGCGCTATCAAAAACAAAAAAAAACGCTATTAAATAGCTTATTTGGCGTAGTGAGAAAATCATGACAACATTAGGTATTCAGAACAATTGGGGTTCACAACAAATCTTTTTCACATCAGAAGAGAAAATATAATTGACATTTTTTTAGAAGAGAAAATGTGCATGTAAAATTGATTCACGCATTTCACTCTACCCTTTTCATTCCCAAGATTCACTCAAGCCACCATAAACCCTGGATTCACAAACATTTAATTTTACAAGTACACCCTATTAATATATAATAATACATTTCAAACCCTACATTTTAAACTCTTTATAAAAACCCAATCGTCTTCTTCGATGTTACCGTCTATAACATACCCTCGGGTAGAATCAAAATTGAACTCTTCGCCGATAATGTCCCAAAACCGTCGAGAATTTCAGGTATCCTCTTTCTCCACCACTTCTATTGATGATGAAAATTTTATGATGTTTATAAATGCAATGGTGGGATCGTGATAAAGAGTTGAGCTGAGCCCACGAATCGTGAAAATTCTTCTCGCTTTTTTTCTTCTGTATGGGTTGTAAAATTTGCGATACTTTTCATTAAAATACAATTGTCTCATTTTATGATATGATTTTATTGGAAGGAAAGCAGAAGTTCATATTGGTTAAGGGTTGTCAATTTTACAGAGTGATTAAGGATTTTATGATCCAGGCCGTGATTATCTAAAGGTATTTTTCTGGATTCGATGAGGAAGTAGTTCTTTTGTGTGCTTCGGTTTAGATGTGTGAACTTGCAAGATGGAATTATCGCCTTTGATGGTTATGAAACAAAGGGATGATTAATTTTGTTATTGTGTTAGCCAAGTTTGTAGACTTTGTTAATTACTTCACTTTCAATATAACATTTTTCTCAATTTTACTCTAAACCTTAGCTGTTCATTTTAATCGATGGCTTTTTTAATTTTGATATGAACATCAAATTAATTAGTGTAAAATAGCCTACTAATTGTTCGATGAAAAGTCTGTGTTGGTGTATGGATTTCAAATTTTATGGAAATGAAGAAAGGAGTTCCAAAATTAAACAATTCTCAACGAACTGGAAGAAAGCTCTTTGTAGCATTTATATATAATTTATTGGGTGCACATTAGAATCACTATATAGGTGAATGAGTTGGAAGAGCTATCAGTATGTTGAATGTTGAGGTCAAATAATAATGAATGGCATCCCAACTTCTCAGGAAAAGCTCTCCAAAGCCACGGACTTAATTGGTATCAGTCATACAAACATTGTGATCTAGATCCATAAATGATAACTTAAATTTTGATATGCAAAGGTTAAACCTTGCTTATATTGGTTGTAGTCACAAAGGCATTTTTAGCTTATTTGGTTTTACTAATGATTTTAGAATGCAAAAGAGTAACGAAGTTGCTAATAACCTTAACAAAATTGGAGTTATTCCAAAGACTTCAAAAAGTGGTATCAGTTTTAAGGACGTTCCCAGGATTTGTAGAAGAGAGTGTAACAGAATCAGAAAACATCTAAATATTTTTTCTAAATACTTTTCCTCAACAGATTTGTGATATTTTCCCTCAGCAAATGCATGATGGAGAATCTCTTGCTATGAGACTCACAAAAGAGTTGAACTCAATGAAGGACATTGTGGATGATATGTTACGATCTCAATGAAATTGTCCTATTTAAGCAGGTTAGAATTAAGTAAGGAACTTCTATTATAAATATATAAACTTTAAAGTACTGGTTTATTACAATTCTAACCCTCTGATTAAAAAACTAAAACTATTTTTATTTCAGGGATAAATATGGCTTTTAGCAAAATACTACAATAATATTGTTTTGGCATTTAATATGGGTGATGTGGCATCACCAGAATATTTGTTAAATATTTTTTTTAAATTTAAATTATTTCAAATTAGTTTTAATTAATATTGGTCTATTAATAGTTATGGTTTATTCCCAACTCAAACCATAATTACAGTGGTGCGTATTGGGAATACGAAAATACTACTTTGGTAGAACAAAAACTCTAACTTCCAAAAATATGAATTGAAGTCTTGTCGTCTCAACTATCCAAACCCAACTTCAAAACCCTAAAACAAAACAAATGGAAACATTAGGTATTCAGAACAATTGGGGTTCATAACAAATCTTCTTCACATCAGAAAAGGAAATGTAATTGGCATTTTTTTAAGAAGATAAAATATGCATGTAAAATTGATTCACACATTTCACTTTGTCCTTTTTGTTCCTAAGATTCACTGAAGCCACCCTAAGCCCTGGATTCACAAAGATTTAATTTTGCAAGTACACCCTATTAATATACACCAATACATTTCAAACCCTACATTGTTCACTCTATTTCAAAACCCAATCGTCTTCTTCGATGTTACAATCTGTAACATTTCAAATTATTTTTAATTAATATTGGTCTATTAATAGTTAATGTTTATTCACAATTCAAACCATAATTACAATAGTGCGTATTGGGAATACGAAAATACTACTTTGGTAGAACAAAAAATCCGACTTCCCAAATTGTGAATTGAATTTGTGTCTTCACAACTATCCAAACCCAACTTTAAAAGCCTAAAACAAAACCATGGCATGATTAGGTATTCAAAACAATTGGGGCTCAAAACGTATCTTATTCACATCAGAAGAGAAAATGTAATTGGTGTAACGCCCGTATTTTAATTAATTATTTAATTAAATTATTTTTGGATTATTTGTGAAGTTGTGTTATGATGATAGTCGATGTGTTGTTGTTATTGGATTTAGTTATTCTATTAAGTTGTGGAATAATATTAGAATGATAACATTATTTGATGTGGGCTTGTTTTAAAGAATAGAAGTAGAAGCGGGCTGTAGGAGTTTTAAGCCCATTAAAGCATAATAAGAAGTATAGGGTTATTATATTAGTTTTTAGAAATAATAAGAAAAAAAAAAGAGGAAGCAGTAAGAAGAGAAGGAAATAAGGGTTGGAAGAAAAGAAAGAGAACGTGAAAGTTGCAGAAAAGAAGGAAAAGAGGCAGAACGAAATTCAATCGGAAAAGTTATAGAGCAAACTTCAATCCAAGGTAAGGGTGGGGTTATGACTCTATAATAGGGTTTATGATGAGTAGTAAGTGGGATTAGATGTGAAAGTTGTCTTGTTTATGGTTTGAATGTATATGTTGTTGTATGATGAAGATCAATGATTTAGAGATGAATAATGATGCCCTAATGTTGTATAATTGATGTAGAAATATAGGATAATTATAATTGATGATTACCTATGATTAGAGGATGTGTTTAGGGTATAAGGCAGGGAAACCGTAGTGAAAACACAGTGAAATCGTAGAAAATATGCATGATAGAACAATATGTGTCGACCTTAAAGGACATGCGTCGATACATGCGGGTTTCTGGACTCAGGATGAGTCGATACGAAGA